TCCAGATGCCCAGAGGTAATGTTTAATTAACCCACTGAGTTATAAATTCATGCAGACTTTTCTTCATCATTATAATACGCATAATAGAAAATGCTTCAGAAATTATCCTCTCTCAGACACCAGCTAATATTAATTTGCCAATCATTTAATCTGAAAATCATTGCAAATAGAGATGGTTAAGTGCTCAGGTGATCCTTGGAAACTTTTAAGTTCATTTGCTGCTGCTCTGTGTTATCAGAGAATTGTCAAGCAAATTGTCATCTCATCCAGACTTAGAGATTGGTTCTGGACAGACATTAGTGCTCAAGTCACATCTCTACTACAAGTCCTTCCTTACCCTTCTTTTCTCATGCTGTGTGTGGTGCCCTACACTTGCTGTGCTCCAGTGTCCCCAGCAGAGAGATATTTGCTATGGATACTCGTACCAGACATGGCCATCAGGACAGATCTGTGCCAAAAGAACACAACTTGGGGACATAAACCACCTATAAGACAGACAAGGCTTGGCCATTCTGTGTATTTCTGATATGCAGGTTTGCACCAAAGTCATTGCCGTCATTTATAATTATCCTTTGGATAGTGTGAGCTAGTCATGTTCACATGATATGTTCCTGTTGGCTCTTATTGAAGTAAGTTTAATATGGGAATGAGGTAGACAGAAAGAGAGGATCTCTCTCATGTCCAGCTATTTCTTTCCTGATCTACTTGGAGTCCACTTTAAATAAAATCTAATCCAAACTGGGCAAAGTGCATTTAGTGTTCCCTTTTGAAACCTTCCAGAATTCCTAAACTATCAGCTCTTGTGGTTCACTGACTACCTGAATGAAATATTTTCAACTGATTTGGCACATCTTCTGAGTAACAGATGGTTCCATCTTTACTGCAAAAACAATAGCTACAGTAACAACAAAATAATCTGTGATTCCGCCTGGAACCTCTTTAAGTATAAGAGAGAGCTCATTGACCATCTTACATTCCTGATAATTACCTCAAGGAAGAAGTATATTTCTTGAGAAATTCACATTATAATTTTCTAAGCAAAGTATCTCATCCATGGAGCAGTTGTCTGAGACTGAGAGAGACTGAACGGTTACGGATGAGTTTCTAATAGGACCTCCCCAGCAATACAGCAGCTGTAAGGAGAGAGATTATGAAAATGTGATACTGAGAAACTTCTTCACCAAGGCTAAAAATAAACTAATATATGTTACAAAGAAAATCATAGAAAAAAGAAAACGGGAACTAAGCTCAGAGAAGCACAAATGATGTGATTAGGAACATGCAGCAAAAGCAGGAGACATTTCAAACAGCCAGAAATTGTCCAGATTACTACCCAGTTTCTTTTAGAGGATGTTTTTAATGGTCGTGGTCTAGAATATTTCTTATAAAACAGTACACATTGTATTTTTGGAATGGGATTCTCCTGAATTTGCCTTTTAGTTTCTAATATTTCAGAATAGGAAAAGCAATATCATTGACAAAGTAATTTTCTTCTATTATCGAAAAAGACATAATCAGATATATCAGACTAACATTAGGGATAAAGCAAGAAACAGTGCTCATTGTATTGGATACATAATGATTTGCAAGTTTTAAGGGTAATATATATAAAAAAGTGACATTCATTAAAAAGAAAACCTTACTCTGTACAGACTAGCTGTCAAATATTAATAGGAAACCTGATTTTTTCTACACATTTCTATTTTTAATTCCCAAGTAAATTCTCCAGAATACTAGTGTATATTATAGAAGAGCATACAAGACCTATGCCAGTGTCAGTTTTCTGTCTTTCATAGGCAACTCTAATTACTGGGAGTGTGCCACAGAAAAATTATTTGGGGAGCTACTTCAGCTGAGGCAGAACTTAAACATTTAGCTGCTGTGCCTTTGGCTTTTCAGCTGCTCTCAGCCCGGGCTGTCCCTTCTGTTCGGATGCTGAATAGGGTGGGGAGAGGATCCTGCTTAAAATCAATATGCTGAGGACTTCATCTTCTGGTCATTTTTCAGCTAGATTTGATTCCTGATCCAATTCATTGCATGGATCTGATGATGAGACTGCAGCGTGCAGGGGGAATAACTCCTAATGAGCACAGAGTCCGTAATTTAGCTCTGCTACACAGTAAATGCACATCGGGCTATGGCTGACATGAACAAATGTGTTTCTCTGCTCCTGAGCCAGGGAGAGACAGGCTCCATGAAGGAAATCTCTGCTGGAGACCAACAGATGTGCATTTGCAGTGACGGCAGGGCTTTGGGGAAGTGGTCTGGATGTCGAGGGCGGTGCTCTGAGGTAGATTAGTTCTACAAGCAGGCTGGCAGGTCAGGCAATTCCTGCAACCTGGAAATAAATGTGGTCTATTCCCTCACTGAGGTACAGCTGGTATTTAACTGAGGGGTTCAAGAGCCCTGAACATCTGTCAGAGAGGGCGAACAGGTGGAACCCAGCTGTGGCCACAGTTGCTCCTACAGTTCATGGATTATACTAAATCCTCTGAGATTCCCTATGAAAAGCACACTACTTGTAGGTTAACATATTGCCCTCAGTCTGTAGCCTGGGTTCCTGCTCAGGGAGGGTTTCATTTTCTCTTTACACAATGGAAGCAATAACAAGGAGATGTGGAAGCAACCTCAGGTTCTAAATAATTATATTTGCTGAGCGTTCACAAGGAGCTTGCTGCACTCTCACCAGTGATCTGACTGATTTCTGGCAGCTGCTTTACCCTGATGCATTGAGATCATCGTTGGAGTGCTCACAGGATACTTTTAGGGGTATTTCTTTTTCCTGTGTGATGAAAATGATGGTAACAATTAGCAATCAGCAAACAGCCCATGGCATGACTGCAGAGACAGGTAGTTTTTTGAAATATTTTGGGTGTTGAACAGAGCAATTTTATTTTGCTTAAGTTCTACTTAAATATTCCTTACATTCAAACATTCCTGGGGGAAAAAAAGCTGTTATATAAGAAAATGGTTCAGGCTGTTCTTAGTGAGATCAATACAGCTCATCTGTTTACATGATTCTAAGGAGGATATGTTGGGTAAATACTCTGGGGAAAAGTTCTCTCAGTGAATATTGAATGGTAGAACTTCTCTTTTGTAATTAGTCATATACAATTGCTATGTCATGAGGCCTACATTTAAGCTTACTTTAAGAATCTGTTTTTCTGTGGATTACTGAAGAAACACCAAAGATATCACTTGAGCAAAAAGGTTCTTCCAGGACATAAAAAAGGTGATGCAAAATAAAATGTCTTTTTTTTCCCTCTTATATATTCAGTGATTGACAGTTCTTAGTTTTTTTATTTTGTATCTTCTATTTTTTGTCATTTTCCTCATGTTTTTAAGTGAGTTTTAACTTTCAACCATTTTGTTGTCCATCAAAATCAGAAAACAGAGAAATCTTACCAAGTGAAAACTTTTGATTTTCAGTGCTGCCTGTTCTGTCATTCTTAGTTCAGTCTTAAATTTAGGATCTCTCAGTGGGAGAAGATGGATCTTTGGTGAAGACTGACTTTATCACAGCTTGACAGCACTTTATTATCTGCCTTAGTTTTATTGGCTTTGATGTTTTGTGTTTTTTAGCTGTAAATTGAAAATAAGTTGAAAATTCAAACCAAGTTGCAGTCAGAGCTGTAGGACAGCTTTGTTGTGGAGTGCAGCACATTTTAAACACTTTTTGCTAAATTAATCTCTTTTTTTAAAAAAAAAAAGGAACTTTCAACACTTGACCCCAGCTGCTACAATGATGATGGACTTGAGGCTGTAAGTGCTTTACTGAGAACACTGGAAAAATACACACAGGCAGTCAAACTGAATGGCAAAATGACTCTGAAGTCAATCTGTCTATGGTATTTTGCTGAATCTCTGTGCAATGTGTACCTTTGACTGTGCTCAAGGTTGTGTTCTTTATGTAGAGTTTGCCTCTCCAAGAAGGAAGGCAATGAAATGCCTCAGAGCCAGGAGCTGGCAGCAGAAATTGCTGGGAATCAGCTGTGTAGACACAAAGGTTTTTCATTTTCATAGAATCACAGAATGGTTTGTGTTGGAAGGGACCTTACACATCACCTAGTTCTAAGGGCAGGGACACCTTCCACTAGCCCAGGTTGCTCCAAACCCCATCCAACCTGGACTTGAACACTTCCAGGGATGGGACAGGCACAGCTTCTCTGGGCAACCTGTGCCAGTGACTCACCTATAATGCATTATAGTATAATCCAATCTCCCTAAAAAACTGTCTCGTTCAAGAAGTACAATTAATAGCAAAAGAGTGATAGAGAAATGAATTTTACCTAAAAATACTTTAAATCACTGCTGGTTCATTTCCTATGGTTGGGAAAGCTCATCTATACACATGTGAAAGGTCTGGCTGTGTCTTTGGACGATGCTGAAACACACATCAGCTCTGCCTTTTGTTGGGGTGCATTGGCTTTAAAAGAAAGATCTGACAATTTTCCTCTTCCTCTTACCTGTTCCGCAACTCACAGTTCAAGTTGTACAGGCTTTTCAAGGTTGAGTGTGCTTTCATGTCTTCAGCATGTTTCTGTTAGAGTGCTATAATGTAGGATTGTGTTTAGCTGATAATCTTGGACAACTCAATTTGTTGTTTGGTATTTTCCATAGACATAAAATGAGACAATGACATGGTGGGTACATGGCAGGCGTGTTCTGAAGATCTGTCATTAATTATCTGCAAGAAGCCGCAGGAAAATCATATGAAGTTTATGTTTAACTTTTAATGTGTTGTAGATTGCTGAAGGAAATAGAGGGGACTAGACAGAAGGGCAAGAAGGTGGGAATTCCTGTGATGGATACTGCTGCGTTCCCTTGTCTCTGCCTGCTTTGTGTCTTGCCTAATTAGCTTGTATTTAGTCTCTTGGAGCAAAGAGTTCCCAACTACATGTTTGTCCATGACAAGCACAGTGAGATCCTGCTAGAGGACTGTTCCAACAGCGATAACTGTTTTCAGTGTCACATGTCTTTTTTTTTTTTTCCTTGTGAAAATGAGCAAATTAAAGACCATAACTGGGATGTTTACAGCCGCAACATGGTGAACAAACAGATAAGGTAATTTTACCCCTTCTGTTAGTTACCAAAGCAACACTATAAAGATCCTTTTAATTTAGTTTAGTGCTGTGAAGATTAAAGCTTAATTAAAGCGATGATATTAAAAAAAAATAAACCTGAAACAGCATAGGAAAAATAGAAAGACATAATTATGGTCCAGTGAATGCTTATCACTCGTTATGACGCTTCAGAGAAGAGGCATTTTTTTCTCTCCATTGAGAGTAATTTTATTCTTGTCATAGATTTGAATGACCACAACAACCTAGGATCATAGCTGTTTATAAATTATTAAGGACAGTTGAAGAATGTGTTATTCTACTCATAAAATAGGGGATAGTGAGTTTTCCTTTGCTGGTCCATTTCCCCCAAAAAATCTCTTTCATACCCATCAGGGAGAAAGACTTTATGAAGACAAAAAAAATGACCGTTTCTCAGTATTTCACATAGTTTGCATAGAAATTCAGCTATTTAATATGAAAAGATTTCTTACTTTCAAATTATTTAATAAACATACCTTGTTGTGAATTTGGAAGGTGTCAGATTTTCAAGTGGTCCTAAATGGTATCATTTCCTTTTATCAGCAGAGCTGCACTAATTTGTACCAGGTGAAAAGATATGTGAAGGACTCGGTGTGATATAATTATTAGAAATTCCTCCAGGAATGTGACTTTTGTTGGCCAGTTAAACATTTGTTGCTTTGCCAGGTTTAAACTAATGAGTTTGAAATCATTGTGGGGAAACCATATGTTTGCCCAGTAGACGGCAAACCAGGACATGAGATGATACTCTTTAACTGCAAAATTCAAAGTAGTAATCTCTGTCCATGACAAAGCAGGAGCACGAGAGAAAGAGCAGTTTGAGCTCGTTAGCTTTGTTGGTAGCTGTCTTTCTGGTTTCTTCAAGAAGTGAGCTGGCAAGATGCAATAGCTCTAAATACCACAGGACTAAAAATGCCCTTTCACTAAGTCCCTCTGTTCATCTTGCTCAAGCGTCTTAAAACTACCTTTAACCATATATCACACATTACTTCTGTGTACAGAATCATTAGTCAGATTAGACATTTAGCCTTATATCAAAGCAGTATTACATTTATTACAGTATGGTGATGACTTCTGTTGTTACAACTCAACCTGGTAACTTAACTCTGACTTTTTGCCCCAGGCTGCTGTGGAAACTGAAAGGTCACTGGACTTCAAGGACAAACTCATGGAAAATAATCTACTGAGATTGCTGAGACTGTGTGTGGCCCAAGATGTCTGTGAACTGCAAAGGACTGGAGGATAGAGGAGCACAGAGGTGATGTATTTCATCAGTTTGTCTCAGTCTTTGGATTATTCCTGATAGTGTTTTGCCCATTGCTGGAGAAAGGATATTACATTACCTGCAGTTTTGGTCGGGTCCTGTCCAACACTTCTGCTATCAAACAACTCTGGCAACCAAGAATTTAGCTTTAAAAATATTGCCTTTCTTTTTTAATCAAGATACAAATGAATTTCCTGGCTTCCAGGCTAACATATATATATATATCTGAGTTCTCCAGAGGTCTGCAGCTCAATTAGTTATTCCAGGATATATTTCTGTTTTTATTAGCTAAGCTGTTAAGAAACATCATGGTATAAATCTCTCTAGTGGTGTTCCTGTAAAACCTAAAAACCTTTTAACCAGGCAGCACTGCAGGAAACTCTCACGCACCCACTAGCTTGGCTCACTGTCTTTGAGGAACCATAGATTATGGGCACGTGAAGGGCTACAGAATTTAATATCATGCCGGTTCAAGTACAGTTAAAAATTATAATTGAATATACTTGCAGTCTTAAGAAAAGTGAGGCATTTTTCTTCACAAAGAATTATTAGTTTCTAATATCAGCTTTCGGGAAAAAAAAAAAAAACATGTAAATTTTTTCTAGAATGCCATTGTACGATTTACCCTGCCAGGGGCTCAGGCTATTTATGTTTTTGACTGCACCGTCTTCACTAAACTTAAAAAAAAAAATTTCCATGGTAACCGTTGCATCACACAACAAAGAAATGTATACACCGCTTAGATCTTTAAAGAAGCAGAGTCTGGAATGAAATTGTAGTCTGCATTTCTTAACAAAATAATATTCTTCTTAGTAAATACTTGTTGTTTTATCAATAAATTCTAATTTTACATTTAAAAACAAAATATGAAATTGTGCATCTAAAATAGTTCTGTCTTAAAAATGTTAACTTTGTGAGAACCATTTGTGCAGGTGAAGTCACTGAGCTGTGAGAGAAGAGAGGGAAGGGGTGTGAGATGGTGATACTCTTTAGTTTTGTCTCTCTGCTAATTATCCTAGACATTATTTCCATTTTACATTTTTTATTTCAATGCAGTGTTCATGCCACAGGAAGGCCACAGTGGTCACATATATATTTATATATGTTTACCATGTATATATACTTACATTTTCAAACTGATTTTTACAGGTACTATCCTGTGGGAAAAAAAAAAGGAAAAAAGTAGAGGCCATTCCATCTGTCTCTAACTTTTTAATAGAGCTCAATACATTCATATGAGAGCATGTAGACCTTCAGTAATGCTTCTCATTTTTCACCTCTGAGCTCATGTGCAGCACCCCAGACCCCAGAGCTGCACTGTGTGAGGGTAGGCAGTGTTGCAGAGAGCTGACACAGGAAAGCTTGGAGGCAGAGCCCTTGTTGGTTTGCCTGGTTGCTGCTTTGGGCTCTGGTTCCTACCAGGGCTGTTAAACAGCACCAGGATGTCAGAGCTGGATATTCATGTCCGTCTGTACAGCAGCATCAATCAGCTGGGGTCTATGCTGGGTTATAAAGTTGTTTTTGTGGTTCAAAATAGATCTAAGACACAAAGCAAGTACTATATCTGAAATCTGGGTAGAAATCTGGCATTTTGATTTAATCTCATGGACTCTACTGAAGTGCCACGTACCGTGGCTGTGGCTTTAGTGTGTGGCTGTGGGTCCTTCGGGCATATCGTGCAAAGTTTCTGGCAGATGCCCCATGTTGGTATAGCCCTGCTCATGTTGGAATCACTTTCCCACTGGAATAAGCAGAGTCTGAGACTCCCTCTCTCTCTCTCTGCACTGTGGAAATTCTTCATTTCTTTGGTAGGCAGAGCTGCCTGCCAATATTTAGCCCTCAGCAATTTTTTTTATGATTGAATTATAAAACCTGGAAATATGAGCTTATAGTGAAAATGCCAGCACCACATTAAAAATAGCAGGAGCAGTGGGCACTGCTGTAATGATGTTCTTGCTTCGGTTTTAATCCCTGCTCCAAAGCAGCTCTGCTTCCTGCAGCACTGGAGGTAAGGGATCCCAGCACCTGATGCTCTGACCACACCATGTGGGGGTGTGTGCTGTGCAGATTCCCTGATGGGCTGCCTCAGCACACAGCTGAATTTTGAGCTATGCTCCACCATTCCAAGAGCAAGAGGAGAGGCAAGAAACAAAGGGCTACAGTTATCATGGGATTAAATGCTTGCTCTCTGTAATTATTTTATAACTAGGAAATTTCAGTAGTTTGACTTGTTTACACTCATATAACTAACCAAGTAGGGGAAGAGTAGACTCCTGTTTTATTGGAAAAGGGAATAATCTTCGCCTTTGCTCTAGTGCCTGCAGCCTCCAGATTATTCCACATTTCTCTGCAGTGCTGGTTGCCTGTTTGGGTAATCTGAGTGTGTCTCAGTTTCCATCTGTTGAAGATCCATCTCAGACCTAATGGACTTAGTATAAACTCCTACAGTTTGAAATACTTCCAACTAAAATTTTTAGGCTTACAATAGTGGTTTGTGGCTGAAGTTCAACAGCCTGGGACAATGTGGAGGGCAGAGCAGCCACCAGCAATGGTGCCTTTGAGGGAGGGCACTTTGAAAGTGCTGAAAGCTTTACTTTACAGTTTATCCTACCTTTACACTTCCCATTTCCCTCATCCTATCTGCATGTCAGGAGCTTATCTGACTGACTGCTGGAGTGGAAGTTAGTAAATTAATGTTATTTGAATATCTGTTTTAATACAGTGTCACATATCCAAACACAGGGTTGGGATTTCATTGCGCCAGCCACAGATTCTGGATGTGCAGCGGATTGCTGTGTCCATCAAGGCAATCCTCTACAATTAGTCATTCTTGACTGAAAATTATTATAATGAGAGCTGCTAATGAATTAGTTTTTGAAAGTCATTGTGGTGTCACAGTGTTGGGGGCTGTGAAAGTAAAGGCAAAGATTGCCTAATGAAACGAGAAGAGAATAGTGGAGTCAAGGGAAATAAAATATCCATGGATTAAGCTGGATGACAAGAGGTAGTAAAAGGGAAATGAAGAAACACTACAAATTGAAAGGTGTGTAGAAAAGTTCAGACATAAACAAGCTGTAGGCTGAGGGAAGAGGTGTGGTTAAATTTCTTCAGCAAAAATTTCAAAGGGCAGTGGGAATGGAAGGACCTGTTTGCACAACAAGCTGCTGTTTAGAGCCTTGGCTATGCAATTTCTTCCAGCATTAGAAGTGTATTTTAAATAACAGTTTAGATTACTATGGCAACCATGTATCCTGGCCATTTTCTTTCTACAAAACAAAAGGGCATAAAATCCCAGAACATTTTTTTGAATCTCACTTAGCCCTATAACTCCTCTGTGAATTAGTTCATGGTGGTTACAATTAAGAGTTTGTCTCATTGGTCCTTACCACTTGTCTATTCTACTTTTGTTTCTTTTCACCTGAAATATGTCCCTCAGAGGCAGGATCTCATTAATCACTGTCTTTCCCAGTAGTAGAACTCTACTGATTTTCAGAGATTACCTGTAACATGTAAGCGACACATTGACGAATAAGCCCTTGAAATTCCATGTTTAATCTCTGTGGTAAAATAGTATTTCTGTTAATATTGCAATTTCTTCACTTTAGATAATTGCACCTTTCTTGATTGTCAGATATTCAGTGAAATAAGTGGGAAGAGAAGAATGACTGTAACTGAATAATTTGTGAAATGACATCTCCTTTCTCCTCCTCCTCCCCACTTACACCATCTTTATGACACAACATAGAGAAAAGGATGCTGTCCTATCCAGGAGAGATGAGCAAGGTGATTGGCATAAGGTTGACATTCACAACTCCAGTATCTGAATGCTGAGCACTAGCCAGAACAACCCTCAATCCCTACACAGGATATTTTTTCAAGTATTTTCAAAATAAATAAAAAAATAGTGAATTAATCCTTTAAACATGTATTAACAAGCAGTAGTTTTGGAACAAGGTTGTTCTCTTTTGCTCAGGACCATGTTTCCTCTGGCCACACCATGCCCACAGTAGTGAGTGGTGAAGCTGAAACAGTTTTTTTATTTTTTTGTTGATGTTATAATTTAAGAACAGTGTTACATCTCCATAATTTTAAAAGATGGACCCCTTTCTAAAAATTATGTATTTACACAGCTACTGAATCTTTTATATCCAATTTCTGTGAAAACAATCTCTCCCTGACTGCTTGCTAGTCAGCTCCTATTGTGAGCAATTAGAAAAGGGCAATGCAAGCAAGTAAAGCACTCTGGGTTTTTGAGATCTAATCTTTGTAAGAAAAGGAATTCGAGCTGTGGGCATTAATGCATTGTGGTACAGCAGTGCATAAAGCAGTACCTTTTTAAAATTTTGTTCTTGTCCTGACTAATTGGTTCAATGTTAAGTGAGGTAACAGTTTAAAGAACTAACTCATTATATGGAATTACTCTGTCTGCTGTGATACTTAAAGTCATCTTGCAGCACTCTGGAGCTCAATGCATAAAATATTACCTTGGTAAGTAACTCTCCCGCTGGATAGAGCCTTTTCTTTCAGAAGTTAACCTACAGATATGAGAACTCTGTCCTTGCACAGTGTCTGATCCAGTGCCAGTGCCTAAGGATGTTCTTGGAAAGATTCCCATCTTTAAACACTGGATTGGGGTCCATGGTGCAGTAGCTTAAGTGCTGAGGCTCTGACTTGCAGCAATAAAATATGGCATTACTGTTTTAAAGTAGGAAAAAGGGTAAAAGAACATAAGTTGACAATGAAATACTGATAAGAAAAAGCAAGAGCTGTGTGAAGGCAGAAAAGGGGAATTTTTAGAGAAAAACTTGGAAATCATGAAAACTAAAATAATAGGTGCTTTTTCCAGTTTGTTCTCATCTGTTATAATATACATGCAAGAGAAGAACAAAGTGTTTCTCTCCACTCAGACAGCTAAATATTATACCAGTTCCAAAGATGTGAAAAATAGGAGACAGAAATACATAGTGAAGTCAAGGTGATTATTGCAGAGTAAC